ACACATTACGTACATTACTATGAATTTTGGTAGGATACAACCGATATAAATCACTCATCACACATTTTTATTAAATGTATTTGGTTAAAATAAATGTGTCATATTTAACTTGTACGTACCCCTCCCCCATTTGTTTTTTTCTTCACAAAACATGAAAAATTAATACCTGAAGAGTTGTGTATTAATAATAGTATGTGTGTTCTTCTGGCAGCTTTCAATGATGGGCATTGGACATAAGTAGGCAATGCACAGAGAGAGAGAGAGAGAGAGTCTTCTTGTGGTTTGCTCTTCTTCTTCTCTTTTATGCAACAGAAGAAGAAAGTACATGGGAGACCGGACACGAAATCGCTAGGATGCTGCTGCTTCTGCTTATCAGGAATGGAAATGATATCTATTATATACTATTTCCTCCTTTCTGACTTTAAACTGATCATTATTACTTTTTTTAATACATCATGTCTGCTTTTATTCAAAAAAAAAGAAGTTATAATGGCCAATTAAAAAAATGAATAGAGGGAGTATATTATTATTATCATTAGTATTTATTATATGCATGGAACATGGATAGGCACCATGTATATGTCATTGTAACTTTTAGTAAGAGTATAATATATATTACACAGCTAGCTAGCAATGGTAGAGAACCATTATACGTAGTATTTTTAATTTTTTCTTGTTTTTAAATTTGATGTGACCATGTGAATATACAGTACTTCCCATCCACATGACGCTTCCTAATTTAACTTTGTGATTTCTTACTAATTTCATTCCAACTTGGAAAAAAAAAAGAGAACAAAACATAAATCAAAACAGAAACGAACATCATGTTGTCCCTTCTTTGAGGGAAGGCAGAGCCACAAAGTAGAAAGTTTGAGCAAATACGGGTATCATGAACAGGTGATTGATTATATACCCAACAAACAAAATGATTGTCTCCAAAAAGAACATTATCAATCCTTTTATTCTCATCATTGATTAAAAAAAAAATTGGAAGAAACACAACATACATCTTTTCCAGTAGCATAAAAAAAACACCACATGTGAACTCAAGAAAGTACCAATCTCAAAAAGTATTATCAATCATTTTCTTCTCATCTTAGAAAGAAAAATCCGAAGAAACAAAACACACACAGAGTCCGGTCCAATCCTTCAAAAACCAATATAGAATCATCAGATTGACCTCAAAAAAAAAAACATGGGAAATTGGCCTCAGGGCTTGGAGAACCTGACACCAAAACCGGTCCAATTCAATGCTTCAAACAACCCGATGAAATCACCCACATTGACCCCCCCAAAAAAAAAAAAAAGATTGTGTAGAGTGAGTGGTTCAGGTGTATTTTAGTTTTGCATAGTAAAGATTTTAAGAAGGCTTGTAGTAGGGCAAGATGGAGTAGATGGTCTGGACGATGGTGAGGGCGAAGAGGAAAATGGCGGCAAAGACGGAAAGGGAGGCCCATGGGCTCCGGAAGTAGGTGTGGATCAGGTTGGCCCGCCACTCGTTCCACGGGATCTTGCAGTACTCGCAGACCTCGTTCTGGATCACGTCCAGGCTGCTCTGCGGGTCTAGGGTTATGTCCCTCGACAGCGAATTGAACAGCTTCGCCACCGCCTTGTCGCTCCCGACGGCGTTCAGCAGCACCCCGGAGTTGTGCAGCAGGCTCACGTCCTTGTTGCTGTCGATTATCGTGTCCATGAAGAAGATGTACGCCGTCACCTCGTTCCCCGCCCCCACGTGCGCCCGCTCGAACGCCATCTGGTTCAGGAACATCGACTCGCTCGTGTCGTCCACCGTGATCTGCGGCATCCGCAGCACGCCGCACCGGAACGAGATGTCCTTCAGGCTCCGCGTCCTGTTCCGCTTGAATCGGATCCCCGCCTCGTACAGCTCCGTCGCCGATCGGACGATCTGAGCCTCTCCGGCGCCGCCCCTCGTCGCCACCGTTGTGTTGCGGCGGCGCAGCTGGGCCGCTCGCTGCGCGCCCCTCAGCTTGTTCAGGTACTGGTGCCGCTTGCGGAGGTACTTGGGTGGCTCCCAGAGCAGGTTCTTACGGTACAGATCCAGTACGTGGAGGCATTTCCCGAACTTTCTGTCCCGGGCGTCTGGGCTCCATATCTTCACCACCAGGTTGTTGATGAATTCCACGTCGTTTTCTGACGGGCCGCCGTCCTCATCGCCATCATACTCCTGCACGCACATCTTTGAGCTAGGTACTCGATCGTATATTATGTTACAAATATAATTTTGAGATTAATAAACATTTTGTGATCTTTACTTTTTGGGAAAATGCCAACAGTATACAAACATGGGGTACCGAATGAATGTTGATGTACCCCTAGGTTAATTGTTATATTTTACCGTATTATTTCATTCATAGAATCATAGTGATGGTAAATCCATACAAGTATACTTACACCGAATTCAAATGATAGAATTGGAAAAATGATACACAAAGTCCAATTTGAATGTTTATATGTAAACATCTTGCTAGCTACTAGAAATGCATGCATCACCAGTATAATTGGACGCACAACTTACTTACTTGGTTTGTAGCGACGGCGTGAAGAGTGTAGAGGAGGAGCATGGGGAGCTGGTTTTGGAGGACAAGCATGTCCCGCTTGAGATGGGGGATGAGGTACAGCCTCCCGTGGTCGCTGAAAACGGGATCCCAAGGGGCGTAGTTGTCCTTCCCCAGGCCGTAGTCAGCCGATATCGCCGCCGTGCGCAATATCTCCAGCAGGAAACACCCGTCCACGATCATCACCTGCAGGAAGCTGCCGCCGTCGTCGTCTTGGTGGTGGCCGGCCGGGAGAGAGTCGTAGGCGTCTTTGAGGTCTTGGGCGAGGGGGTTGAGAGCGTGGAGGTAGCGCTCCAGTGGCTTCCCGGACCTCCTGAGGAAGTGAACCAATGCCCGGTGCTTGTGCCCCTCCATCACCCTTAGGTGATCCTCCCCGTGATGGTAAGGACCCAAGGACACGACTAGCGGCGTGTACGCCTTCTTGTTCCACTCTGCAAACGCCGCCGGGACTCTGTATATGCACCGCTTCTTCCACCGCTCCACCTGCTGCTGCTCATCCTCCTCCATCGTCATCCCGCCACCCGCCGCCCCATCAATCTTAACAATGGCGCTGGCGGCGTTGTCATCGTCATCTTTGCGTCGTCTGATAGATTCTTCATTCACCTTGATCACCCAATCTCTCCACCCGCTGCTCTTCGTCCCCCCGTCCATGCGTATATATATATATGTCTATAAATATATATCTGCAGCGGCGATGCGGAGGCGAGACACTATTCCATTGATGGATTCACACTCACAAACACACACATATACATCCGAAATTTATATATATATATATATATATATATATATATATATATATATATGTATGTATGTACAGTGTGAAATTGAAGGCGATGGAGGGAGGAAGGTGAGCATGTGAAGTGATTCCTAACGTGATAGATTGTCAAAATGATTCTGCAGCTTACAATTATTTTACAGAGTAGTAGTAATATAAAGTTGGACTGCTGGGTCATCAGCCATGTACTTGTAGTGCCTCCTCAGGTTGTGGATAAAGTTTGGGATAATATATTGGAGCTAGAGAACCTGTTACTAACAAGATCTATCAATCACAAGTGGACCAATTACTAACAAATGTGGCTCAAATAAATTTTCTCCCAACAAATAATACACTCTTTGTTCCTAATTTGATTACAAATTGAAGCTTACGAGGAGAATTATTTCATTTTTTGAATTTTTTTCATTTACAAACTGGTATATATCAATAAGAAGTTAAAATTACATGCTATTAAAATACAATGTTAAAAATTTACAAAATAAGGGGTTGCAAGAATATTTTATTTTATCAAATACTTAATGAAATCGCATAAACAAACAAAAGTTATCGAGACGAAAGAGAAAGAATTATAATCAAATTGGGAACGGATGGAGTAGTATACAAATACATGTAGGGAAGGTGCTTATTCATTCCTTTCTTGCAATGGAAGGCACTTACAAGTACACCCATCTGCTTTTTTGTCCATTTATTACTCTACTAAATGTGGTTAATGTTCTTTTTAAGTGCCTTCCATTGCAAGCGAGTATTACCCCTTAGGGGTGGACACGGTACCGTGACCGGAAACGGTACCGCCGGTACCGTTACCGTCGGCCGGGACGGTCCACCGGTTCCGGAAACCGGTACCGGTACCGCCCACTCCGGTACCGGTACCGGTGCCCATTTTTCGGTACCGGCACCGGCGGTACCGGTTCCGGTTCTAGTACCGTAATTATTATTTTTTTTATTTTTATTTTTTTATTTCATTCTTTCCTTTATCAATTTCATTTTTAGAGTTTTTTATTTCATCCTTTTTTTAACAATTACACATTTACAATTCTACACTTTAAAAATTTAATAAAAAAGCAAAAAAAAAGAAATTATGGGTGGCCGAAACGGTACCGGAACCGGAACCGCCGGTACCAAGGGGTGGCGGTTCCGGAACCGGAACCGTGCCGGAACTATACCGTGTCCACCCCTATTACCCCTCCGTCCTCTTAATCTACTTGTTTTGACTTTTTGTAATTTTTAAGGAGAGTTAAAAAAAGATAAAAATTTATTATAATACTCTTAATAAAAATGAGTAGAATGTATTAAATCAGATGGGTGATGTATAATAAATGAAGTTATGATAGTTATGGTATTCTAATGGTTAAAAATAATAATGAGAAGATATATAGTGGACAAATAAAAAGATCTAATGGAAAGATCAATGAAAGACGGAGGGAGTAATTTTTATTTCTATACCAGTTAAAGGAAGATAATTATGAAATGAATGAAGTATTCTACTGAGTAGTAAATATAATCCATATGCTATGTGTCTAATTTAAAAATAAAATATAAAAAAAAGTCCACGATCCAAGATATGAAGGACAATTTCACATTAATTACAATTAAAATCTATAGGTTGTGACAGTGGGAAGGTGAATCACTATATTCCTTGAAGGCTTAAAACACACATTTAGGAAATTTCAACGAAAAATAAATGCTTTGAGTTTCAACTGTCAACACAAGAGATGAGAATTCAGTGAGAAGGATACAGTTAAAGCTATAATCCTAATCCCATTGACTTAACATCTCTCCCCATCACTTACAAACACAAGAATGACAACAAGAAGCAAAATAACCACTTTAAGTCACAAGTACATATTTTAGATACTCCCAAAATCACTTCACAAATGAGATTCTGAGGAAGTTACAGAAAAGTTGAACAATTCAAGTGAAAGAGAGGAGACCAAAATCATGTTAACCTGCCTATATAGGGGAAGCAGGATCACTCACTCAGCAGAGCCCGAAGAATGAACGGGATAGATCTGCAAGATGTCAGCCCACATCTTCTGCCCATCGCTCACCTCCTTCACCACAGATGCCACCTTGTCCACGCTAACGCGAATCTGATCCTTGCTGTCTCTTTCTCTCACTGTTACCGAAGATGATGAATCGACCGTGATGGCAAACGGCACACCTAGTTCATCAGTTCTCGCATACCTTTTCCCGATCGAGGTGCCTATGATTGCAAGAAAGCATAATTACTATAATTTAGTATTTGTGAAATACAAACGGGAGATTATATTTATAACTGGTGCAGAAATCTAACTGGCGCTAGTCAAGATATTATATTTATAATTTTCAAAAAAAAACTTGAGGGCCATTTGAAAATGTAACAAAACCATGATGTTGGTAAATGTAATTAACCCTCATTACAATGACTGAGAAGCATCCATGCAAGTGGTTAATTCCATCATATCATAAAACAGAAATACAAGACCATCCATTGAAATTCAATAGAACGGTTAGAAACCAAAGCGCACCTGTCGTGTCAATCTTATGCGAAATACCAGAAGCAGTCAGGGATCTGGAGATAGATTTTGCTACTTGTTCATACTCTTCATTCTGAACCAATGGGAAAACAGTACACTTGATGGGTGCAACAAGGGGTGGGAACCGGAATACATTAAGATGTTCATCTCCAGTTTTACTAGGCCGAGTATAGAACGAGTGCTCAAAAAGACAATATATGATCCTCCCAATTCCAAAGGAGGGCTCGATGACAGAAGGTGTGAATACTCTTTGGTGCTCTTTTTTCTTTTCTTTAGATATAGACACCATATTCTTCTTAATTGTCACGCTTCTCCCTAGAGTGCAGATCTGAAACTCCACCTCCCCTTTTGATTCCAGATCAGCCTTCATCTCCATAGCAGCATTTTCATTCATTGCCTGATATAACAGGAGCAAAATAAAACATTCAAACAACCTCTCTAGTATACTTTCCTATGATGACTTTGACTGAGGAACACTTCTTAAAGAAATTGCAGCGTTAAGATTGTGGTAATTGTGGGATCAGTCAACATCTTCAATACTCCCTCCAACATCTTCAATACTCCCTCCGTCACAAAAAAAACTCACAGTTTGACTTGGCACACAGTTGAAAGTGATGCAAAAGAGAGAGAGAGAATGATTGTGAGCCACTCAAAGTTTTTCATAAAAGGAAAGAGAAGTCTTTTGGGGATGGAGGGAGAATTTATTTGATATAATAGAAATTGACAGGCTGACATAATATGTGATCATATAACATTTCAATCATCATCTATTCGTATAATATCACGTAGGCTAGATGAAAGGAAAAAGATGTTTTAAAGAACAATAGTCCATCTTAGAAAGGGTGATTTTTTAACGAAATGAAAATAAAGATTACCTCCAAAGCTTCGGCAACCATCTTCTGGTTCCCTTTGAAGGCTAGACCTAGCTCTTTCTTCACTGGAGTTATAACAAGTTTCTAGTATTGCATAGCATTGCTAAGAGATTAGTAGTCTAGCAATATGATTTCAATAAAAAAACAACTAATTAGATGTAAATATTTGTTACCTCCACTTCTTTAGGTTTTAAATATTTTTCCTGAGCAACAAGAAGTGTGCCACTTTTTTCCTGACAGACAACAGTTATGGGTAAGCATAATTAGGTTGATAGAAATCCTTTTATATCACACCATGCAAAGCTAAGAGTAATCTTTTTTTATTTCTTTTCCTCAAGGGTAAGATTATACTAAACATTCTTCACAAAGATGTACATTGAACATAGCAAATCAGATAATGGTGTAAGAAAACAAGAACTAGCATCATGCATTTTGAAGATTGGTGATTTCAAGGGATAATATAAATTTAATTTATATACATGCATGTATATCAATAAGCAGAGGGAAAAATTTTAAACATCCAAATAATCCTTTAAAGAGCTACCATGAATATTAGGTTCCAATTATGATGCTACAAGAGTGCACCAAGTAATGACTGATGAATCTTACAGAATGAGCTCGCAAATCATATGCAGATCGATCAGCAATACCAACACATTCTACCCAACCATAAGAACTCTCGATTTCAGCATCCCAGCAATCTTGTGCATAGTGGGCCATCTCATTTTCAAGATGTTGCCTAAATCTCAAACGATGTTGATCTATTCCGATCAGTGTTAAGAAAAGGTAGACTCTCCCAATAAAGTATCCAAGTGTTTCATTATCGACAATTCCCTGGCAATATTATTTAGAGAGAAAGAGTTGAAACCAAAGTAGCATGGTATGTAACAAACCCAAATATTTATTAAGAGCATTGCTAGTATATAAGAAACTCACATTTGATACTGCTTCGCCTAGCTGAAAAATTTTGGCAGATTGGCCAGACACTTGTTCTTTCCTGGGAAACATTAGAATCTCCAAAGTTGCAACCTCTGAAAATTTGGGGTGAGATTTGTTCTGAGGATCAACAAAATGCTCAATTTCTGCTAGAGTGAACTCCCTGACCCTGAGAAGCCCTTGTCTTGGCGAAATCTGAAAATATGGTGCAAAAAAATGTGCATAAAAACAGGATCTTGGGTGAATCTAAAACTAGGTGAAAACTGAGTGGTAACAATCAATACAAATCAGAAGCACACTACACAAAAACAGCGCATAACAAAACCAATCCTTTGAAGCCTAAAATTTAGTACCTCATTTCTAAAAGCCTGGCCAATTTGAGCAGCAGCAAAAGGGAGCTTGTTTCCATTGTAATAATACAAATCTTTGAAATTCACAAATATCCCCTGTGCTGTTTCAGGACGGAAAAAACTGCATGAAATATTTTTTTAAAAAAAAAATCAGCACCTAATGTTGCAAAATCAGCTAACAATCAGCATCAAGAGCAATGATCACTATCCAAGCAACAAATCTAATACTAACCCAGGGATCAATCCAGATGGACCTATAGAAGTCTGAAACATTAGATTGAATGGGTAAGGATCAGATAGAGGGTTCTTGGTATCAGGTGCTGTGATACCGTATTCCTTGATTTTTGCACCAATTTGGTCAGAAGATAGATCATCCAAGACAGCAAGCACGTGTTTCAATTCTGCAGCCTTTTCAGAAGGCATAGCCAAGTCCTTCTCCAGTTTCTCGTTGCAGTAATCCTTGAGCAAATGATCCGCTCGATAACAAGTTCCTGTCTTTTCATCCTTAACCATAAGATCAGTAAATTTGTCGACATGGCCTGAAGCCTCCAACACAGGCTTAGGTGTCACAGACGGGCAGATAATTTCCAGCATGTTCTCTTCCAAAACAAAGTGCTGAAACGGGGCAGGGAAATAAAAATGTAGTCACATGGGAGATGGGCAAATTCATACCAAAACCTAAATACACACATTGAAGGATGTAAAATTTGAATCGCAAAGAAACCTGCCGCCAGAAAGCTATGACGTTTGCCATAATAGCAGACCCCGGAGGACCGTAGTCATACAGACCCGTCACACCGCCGTAAATTTTAAACGAGGGGGTGTAGAACAGGCGGCGCTCGAGAGTGTTGGCGACAGCCTGACGGAAAGCATCCCTGCCGGCCTCGGCAGCCGGCTGCGCCATTGAGCAGAGGTGGAGAGAGTGGATCAGGAGGCGACGGAGACGAAATGGTTGTGTGGGGGAGGAGGTGAAGCGCATGAATCCAGCTTTTAAACTGGCTGACTAGGGTTCTTAGAAATGTTTTCACAAAATTAATTCTTTTGAAATATACTCCGTAGTTAACAGTGATATTCTTGCCAATTTGCCAGTGTACATTAGAGGGTAAGGAGTAATAATTGTGATATATACTTATTTACCATCTTCATTTGGAAATTTGGAAAGGTATATAAATTTTTCACACCTTTTAAATTTTTATCAATCACTTTAGCTATTGTATTTTTTGTACTTTTGCTTGAATGTATTATTATAAATTTTTAATTTGTATCTTTGTAATTGTAAAACTTAACGAGTCAAGAATTAACAAAAAGAAGATACTTTGTTTTTTAATTTTGTACTCTATATTTTTAACTTTTTTCTACTCAGGTATTTAAAATTTTACATGTGCAATTGGACATAATGTATATTTAATTATTTGACAACTAACATTCTAATTTTTTTCGATTTACCTCCCCATGACTTTTTTACAAAAGTATATTTTCTTTTCTAATAATTGAAATTTGATTTAAGAAAGGAAATCAACTAATTTTTTTCCCAATAATGTATGGAGATGGATTTTTTCCCTCTTTTACCTTTTGATTTACTTTCCACAATTGGAGTTGCACACTTTTTCGGAAGGTAAACTTGATCATTTGGAGAGGTAAATGAGATATATACCTCTCCAAGATACCACCCACCATTAGAGTTGCTCTAATAATAAACCACAAGCATACATTAACTGAAATATATCTCATGCATCCTCGATTTTCTATTAAACTCTGAAACTTACATTATCTGAAATTTATTCTGGAGTTCTTAAAATTTGTGATGTTACTCCGAAAGTACATTCCGTCTATTTAAGCGTTAAAATGGAAAGCTCTCTACTGTGATAACTTGAAATTTTTATCTAAATTTAATAAAATAAAGTTTATCAAGATAAAATTTAATACAATTTGTCGAGTAAATTTCACATATGGTACACTAACTTTAACGTTTATTTCAGTTCGGTATGCCAACTTTTTTTTCTTTCAGAAAAGTACTCCAACTTACCATTTCTTTCACCGATGGTATTTTAGCCGGGTTCCAGGTTTAGAAGCCGGTTACCAATCCTACGTGGATGTCTACTCTTTTACAGTATTTTTTATAATATTCATCATTTTTAATATAAAACTTATATAAATTAATGCAAATATTTTTTTATTAATAAAAATAGATAAATAATTATAAATAAAATAAAATTATAAATTCAAAATTAACAAAAATAAATAAAAAGATTAAAATTAATTAAATTTTAATTATTGGAATTAAAAAATAAAATTGAAATAAAAAAAGTCAAAATTGATTACATTAAAGAAAGGTTTAGAATTAAAAAAAAATGAAATTGAGAAAAAAATAAAAAAGATTAAAATTAATTAAATATTAATTATTGGAATTGAAAAATAAAAAAATTCAAAATTGATTACATTAAAGAAGGGTTTAGAATTAAAAAACAAATGAAATTGAAAAAAAAATTGGGAAAGAAGAAGCTGAAAAATAAAATTAGGGCAAGGAGGATGAAGAAGCTAAAAAATGAAATTGGGGCAAGGAGTTGGTGGATACCGTGAACTCCATCTTCCGCTATCAACAGCAACCATCTTCTTCTTCGCCGGGCAGAATCTCATCGAAACCCTGACGGCCGATAAATCGACGGCGTCAGCACCGGCAACGAGCGCACGGCTTACAAGCTCAAAAGCTACTTCGATTCTGAGTAGTACTTTCCAGTGCGTGAGTTGCTCTGCTCTGGTAACTCCGAAAGTCCCTTTGAGTTTACTTTGACTTGGTCGGGTCATCATTCTTTCTCATATTTTTTTTTTGATTAACCACCATTCATAAACTTCAATTCCCAAAAAACAGAATACACGCACCAATATCTAAATCATCACATTCCAAAATAAATCCACTCTTCAACTCAAATTGCACGGCAATATAATAATCTGAGCAAATATCAGTGACATTTGTAGGTTATAAACATCCAAATTAACACAACACTCAGGAAAAATAGAAGAAAACAAAAAATAAAGTTACAGCCACAATCTATAACACAGAACAAGCTTGTAACAACGAGTCCGAATAGCATTCATAAAAACATGTTAAGAGACACAAAACATTCACAACAAAAATTTGCTGCCTTGGCATGCTTTGGCAAGGTAGGTAGAGGTGGGGAAAAATGTTTACCAGGAGGAGGGAGGAGCCTTCATCCGGAGGAGGTATGGAAGAAATCATATATCCGCCACCCAAACTCTTCTCCTATACATAGTCTTTTTTTTTGTACATCCGATCAGTATTTCCAAAATTTGGGGAGATCTTACATTGCGGTATTAGAGTAGGCCGCTGATGAATAAAAAGGGCCAAATGCTTGTTGTTTTTGGTTAAAAATTCACGAGGTCGTCAATATTCTGAAATTCAAAAGGAAGTGATTCTCTCTTCTTCACTCCTCCTTTTAAAGCTTTCTCCATTGACCAACCACCCTTACTTAATGTACAATGGAGGAAAATTTAGAACAAGGTTAGCTGCTGCTGCTGCTGCATTTAGTTGAAGAATCCTGGACTGCTGTGGAAGATGACTCTCCATGTGAAGGTGATTCCTCTTTTGATGGGCTTGTATGGGTTTCATGGTTGTTTTCATCACTTGTGCCGCCAGGTCGACACTTGTTGGGCCTAGACCTCACATGGACACCCATGGGGAAGGGAACCTGTAAATGCACACTCTCCATCATGCATGAACCTTCCGACCACTATTGCCCTCATTCGTTTATACTCTCATAGGCACTAGAGACTAAGTGCTTGTTCTCTTCAACTTATAAGATTGGTTCTGATCTAATTCAATTAAATTCTGATCTAATTAGATTTATATTTGAAGTTGTTTTTGATCCGATTCCAATACGAATAAAAATAAGTTAATAGAATAAGTTGAAGAGAACAAGCTCTAAGGCTTTGTTTCGTTGTCAAATGTCGCTTATTCTGGTTATCAGTAGAATAAGTTGCTTTGGACCTGCTTATTTTGTTGAAATGGATGTTAACAAAAATGTCTTTTTTTTAATTAAAGAAAGTCAGCAAATTCAACCATTTCAGCAAAATAAGCCCTTACCAAACAGCCCTAGGCTACCCTTTTCCAACAAAGTTTTTCCCCACTTACGATTCGCCCAACTATACTTAGATCCGCAAAACCCCAATCGCTACCTATGGGAGTAGAGTAAGAGGGAAAGATAGGGGGAGGGGTAATACACCAAATTGTACAGGGTAAATGAAAAACAAAAAAGTTCAGGGGTACAGATACTACCTGATCCCCTGCATTGGGGCCATCAGTATGGAAAAGAATAGGACGGCATCGCTTATCTTCGTTCATCAAGCTAGAATTCTGAAAGTGAGCAACAAGGGCGGCTTTCCCCTGGATGCGTGCATATGCAAGTGTTGCCACCTTTTCACTGTTGAATTTTTCCCATTTCTTTCCATTAAAAGCCTGTCACACCAACCAACTTGTGACTCTTAATGAGAATGTATACATGGGGCCACAGTGTACAGAAAACTTTCAATGATAGACAGTATGAATTATTTGCTGAGGGAAAGAAAGGATCTTACATGATAAAAAGGAATAATGAATGATGGATCAGTCATATTGATAAATGCATAACCTACATTGCATTTGTTCTGCCAAAAAAAGAGTAAATAATTAAATTTGAAAAGCCATCAGTAATATTAGGTGCCGGTTTCGTGCAGAAGAATTCTTTTTCTTATCAGCAGCCACATTTTCTAATTTCTATTAAACACTAAGTACTTAGTTGACTGCCTTGGTTGAACCTTAATGTAGTGGAACATGCAAGACTTGCAATTTTTTGTTGAAATGGCTGATATGAAGAGAATTATACTTTTAGACTTATTTTCATGTTATCTTCCTAAATTTTTTTTGAAAAAATGAAATAATTCTTGGATAACTCTGCAAATTCAGCTACTTCGGCCAAATTTACCCTAACTAGATTGGCCGCCTCAAAAAGTGATAGAATCTGTAGCAACCATAAGGGTGCAATAGCGGTATACTACAAAAAGATCTTCCATAATTAATAGTACAGAGTAAATCATTATGATTGTACCTTGAAATCAATTGGCAAATAGATGAAATCATAAATTCCTTTGTGTTGTTCATCAATAGCAGCTAAAAGCATTTTTGATGTGTACCTAGCATTGACAACATAGGAAATAAATCAAATAATAGACATGTTACAAGAAACAAAAGGTAGTATGGAAGGAACATATACCAATTCATTAACTGAATTAACACAGAGAAAAACAATATGGAGAAAACTTCCAAATAAGTATCATATCATGAACCAATTAAAAAAGTATCATAACTAGATTCACACACAAAACAATACAAGGACAATTCCAAAAAATGTGACGTACTTGTTAGGAATGTTCTTTAACATTAGTGTTGTCCGCTTATCTTCCCCCCTAACAATTCGTTCAATGTCAAGCTCAAATTGCTTTTTGTTCTCTGTCTGATTTGAAGAGCCTTCATTTCTCCGGCTTCTTGTCCTCTCATTTGGAGAATCAAATGAATTCATCATAGGAATCATTTGGCTCCTCGGAGGAAACATCAAACACCTCTGGTGAGGGGAGGGTAATCCGACACTCTTTGAAGTAATTGGAGAACCCATACAATTTCCACCACCCCGAGGAAAGTTAATTAGATCTAAGGGGTGGGGTGAGTTACCAGAAATCTGCAAGCTACTAAGAGAACCAGGATGGAAAACAGAGACTTCAGGAGAATCACCACCATACACATGTCTTCTATCCCAAATAGAAGCATTGACAGAGGGGGCTGATCCCACGTGGTGGTTGCTTAATGGTGCAAGTGCATTAAGCATATGCGTAGGTGCATTAGAAACGACATGCATTTGTTGTGAGCGAGTAGTGCAAATTCCATTCACAAGTGATGGTGAGTTTGGCCACATCATTTCTTGATATTGTTGCTGGGGAGAAGCACTCCATGCATATGGATGCCCAGATGGTGCACAGCTACCATTTCCAGTGGGACCAAAAACTGAACAAGGTAGCAGAATAGGCACAAGTAAAATATCAGGAAACACAGAATACTTGAGGGATCCAAAGTAGATTTCTTTTTACCCCCCACCCAAAAAAATTATATTTGTAAAAATTGATCTTTATGCCCCATGGTTTACCCAAATATTTGAGTGTGCACCCCATTCTTTACCCAAATATTCAACTTTACACTCCAAGGTTTTTTTCCCTTTGAACATGCACCCCTGTGTGGGGGTGTAAAATTAAATACTCCCTCCGTCCCATAGAAATCTTCACGCTTTCTGTTTTTGTTCGTCCCAAAAAAAGTTCACTTTCCTTTTAAGGAAGAAGATGTGGCCCAGAAAATTTCACTCTTCTTAACAAATTCTAACCACAACCTTTTCACTTTTCTTAAACTCTGTGAATGTCAAACCCAGAAGTTTTTATGGGACAACGGGAGTACTAAGGTAAATCACTTGGTGCGACATCTGGTAGAAATGACTTGGTCCACTGTGCACACTCAAAGAAAAATAAAACATCGGGTGCAAAGTCATTGAAATGGGGTGCAAGGTCTAATAGAAATGACTTTGGTGCATGTTCAAAGAAAATAATACATGGGTAGAAAATTCAAATGTTGGGGTAAACCATGAGATGCACAGACCAATTTCCCTTCCTCTTTTACTCCGTCAAGTATTGAAACTAGAGCCAGTGATTTTATTATTCATCAAATTAATGAACTCGAACTTTGAGAGAACCTATGGTATATACTAGTAATATAGATTAGGTCCATGTAATTCTGCACTTACCACCTTCATTCAGTCCCATTGAGAATCTATTTGAGCCAATTCGCTGGAATCGCTGGCCATCAGCTACTTCTGATGGCCAACCATTTATATTTGAGGACATGACACCTGGAGAACTGGAGGGGACTCCATTGGTTAACCCATCAAGATATTCTGGAAGAGAGCAAGGGAGGCCGTTTCGCTTGCGCATTAACTCAATGTTCATTTGACCAAGTAAATGGCTGGTCTCACCGAGATTAGATTGGTTGCCAACAGATTCCAGCCTGACCAGTGAGGCTAAGCTGTTAGGACTGAATGCTGATATCCCTTGATCCAAGTTATTGTCCAGATATTGAGTTTGTGGTGCTCTACTTGGTGACTTTGCACCAAACATAGTCCCACTCTCTAAGCTAGATGGGATTCCACCAAGTGTGCGGCCTGTGAGATTCCATGTATCCACATGACTGTCTGCTTTTTTCAAAAGAAATTGAACTTAATAAATGATTCTCAGAAATAGTACAATAGTACCAGAATATCCTGGCATTATGTTACTAGGATAGCTATTCTGTTGCAGATGAAGACCAGATTCATCATGTTCTATTTCTCGGGAAAATGGTTGCAACCTGTGAAGTTCAGAAACCCAAGATAATTATAGGAAAACCAAACAAACAAACACATATATAAAGATGAAAATTTTTATATATGATTTTCAAACTGACAAACACCAGAATAACTTGAGTGAAAATTTTCAAACACAAGATGAATGATTTAAAAGACAACAAAACTCAGAATAATCCCAGTATAATCCCCTTTGACACTTACAGCACCTTTGATACAAAGAGGGGAATAGCTGAGGAAAGAAATATTTATTCCACGGAAAAGAATGTAAGAATATTGACTCCTATTTCACTGTTTCGTTGGTGGGACTAAATCATTACTAGGAATACTTATGCGTGTGTTTGGTAGCTTTGGAATGACAACATAGTCACATCAATTTATGATGGAAAATGAAAAAGTGCTTTATGAAAGCTAAAATAACATACTGTCTAGCCCCGTCTGGAAACCATGGTTCAAGCCTGATCTGCTTCCCGGCAATATAGCTACTATTCAAGGCATGTAAAGCCGCTTCAGCAGCCCTACTATCATAGTACTCAATCAATTTGTTATGCTTTTGATGTGGAGTGTCACAGATCTATATTCCCAACGAAAAACAAATTAGTAAATTGCTTCATGCACCTACCAAAAAACAAACTTTCAGCACAAAATTTACCTCCTTAATCTCTCCATACACGCCAAAGATACGATGAATCTCACTATTTGACACAGAGGATTCAAGGTTGAAAACCACTAGAGTACCATTGATGATGTCTTTTGCAAGGGTACGGTCCTGCCATATAAAACAAAAAAAAGACATTAACATGTGATTAGACATGTACAGGTGTAAGGGAACATTAAATCAGGCTAGCACGTACCTTTAGGACTGAAAAATTTATGTCTAGCCTCATGTGTCTCAGTGGCTTATTTTGGAGAGCTTTCATTGCATTTAGGGCAGATCTGATATCATAATAGGAAACCATAACAAAACCACGATGCTTGCACGTTGTATATAGTGAATGAATATCCCCGTATTGCTGCTTATTCGGAAAACATGAAAGCAAAACCATCAGATATATAATCATTTTGTAAACATGGGACACCTATAAATTATTGGAACTTTCCAAAAATTTAATATTATGGTCCACAACTACACACTTCTACAATGAGCATCGATGTGACACCACTTACTCATAGCACCTCATTTAAAGGTCAAAAATGAAAAAAAAAAACATCACAAATTTTCTTTTTCCATTCTCATCTTGAACATTGTGCCAGGTCAAGACCAAGAAAAAATAAATGGAGAGAGGTAGTATATGATTGGGAGTTTAGGAGCAAGAGGACTACATAGTCACAATTTTAGGCCACTGCCAAATACCAACCTTAAAGAGACTTTGCAATTCAGAATCTTCAATATTGCTATTTATATTTCTTACTAGGAGTGTTCTGGATGGACACTCCCCAAGTGTATTCCCCCCACCATTTAAAGCAATAGATTCCCCCAAGAGCATGTCAGAATTTCTTTGGCTTGAAGAGAAACTGTCTTCTCCCAAGTCCATCCCTCCAACATTGCTAAACAGATCCAAGTCTTCTCCATCATCTCCATTGTTGGGTTGAGCAACACAGTCAAGCCCATCAGTCACTGCAGCAAATAAGTCATCATCATCAGGTAGAAGATTTCCAATTGTCTGAGCTTCAAGTTCTTCCAGGGATTCCAAAGGTTCTTCTTCCTCATTGTGTAGAACAGTGGCACCCATGGATTGTCCATAAAGAGGGTTGTATGTTGACAGTCGCACTGCAATATATATATATATCCTCACACCATAAGCATCAACTATATTCTCAATGTCTCATCTATTTTAGAGATGAGGAATGTAATTTATTAGTTATCCAGCTATAACTGCAAGGTATCTGCAAGTCAATAAGCATATACATGCACACTCCTATTCTAGAATAAGATTTCATATTTCACTTGGCATGGTTAAAAAGAAAGGTGGCATTGTGTGGATGAGATTTATTTAGAGAAATAATATGCACCACATTATTCTTTCATTGAAAAGAAGTGGAACTTTATTTTGAAGAAACCAAAAAGAAAATGTGGAACCTTTTTCTTGAGACAGAGGTATATATGTAGCAAGAACAGTCACGTTAACCACAGTTGTAAGTTGAGGCACTCTTGGCTATAGGAAAACTTACATTTTCTACTATATAACTCGGATAATGAACTGGAAAAAAGACCATTTTCATGTTGAGCCCCCACCATCTTAATTTTGTCTATATCTGATGTGTAAGATGCTGATTCTGTACTGAAAATAGAAGTCGTGTCTATGCTGTGATCAAGAGTTCTTGCCAAAGATTGGCTGGCAGCTCTTTCTGATCCAATTGCATGCCTTTGTGTTGCAGAAGTCACTTTCCTGTCTTTTTGTATATAAGAATAAGAATTTTGAAGTTTAAAACCATTTGTCATCTGGCAACCTGCAAGCACCTGGTCTTCAAAAGGTATTGAAGGCACACTTGCAGCTCTTAACGTTCTGTCTGTTTTCAAGGCTTCAAAAAAGGTAAATGAAATTAAAAGCAAATCGCGAAAAGCCCAAAAAGAGAAACACATTTAATATCAGCTCTTCACTTCTTGACTGTTGAGAAAGATAGATACACTAGGAGAACTTATAGGAAAAATCAGAAGCATGACTCGTTACTTCCGAAAACGTGTCAAAAACACAACTGACCCAGAAAACCCCGAGATGAACAGTCCATTTCAGAGATATAGAATACTGGGTCAAACCCAGTGGGCCTGACAGTAATGTCATGAGACATGATCTAGCAAAGGGGGCAATCTCGGTGGGAGAACGGATGGGCGTTATGGAGTTGGTAGAATGTAAAACAAATACCCACTATACACAAATGTATACTGGACTTCATATATATGACGTTGTTCTCTTCTACTCAAATAGAATAAGGGGTATATTCCAATCAGATTGGATCATTGAAATTCATTATCATTCTCAAATTAACTCTCGTGCGCATGCGTACCAAGAGTGCATGTCAAACACTTCTAAATTTTTATTTCTGCTATATTTGGGAAATCATATCACCCTTCATTGTTTTCACAAAATGTTCAGCTCAATGTAAAATGGTAAACTAAAGCGAACCCATCAGAAATATTATGACTCACCATTGTAATTATGAATGCTATTTGGCTTCAAAAATCCATTCTGGCTCTGTTGAAAAACAAAGAGAATGTTGACTATTAATGACTCTATGAGTGTAAAACTGATAATTGAGATCCACTGCTTAGAGAGCATTCACGTTGAAGAAATTATTTTCATAGTCAAGATAAACACTTTGTACCTCATCATGAAAATGCAAGTCCTCAGAGAAGAAGGATGAAGGAGAGAAGTCGTGCGGGCCCACCATCTGTGATGGCATAATGAAATCTGGATTTCGTAATGCAGCAGAGAAACTCAGCCGAAGAGAAGCATATAATCCGATTCTATGAAAAATAAGCAATCCCCCACTTCAAAGACCTGTAACAATGATGAAAGAGACAAGAATATAAATACTATTCCGTAATTAGTTTCAATTTGGAAATTTTACCAAAACCGGTTCATAGCCATTTCAAACATAAGGTCCAACTATACATGGAAAATAAGCCTGTAATTAAACAGCCAAGTACGACTTCTTGAATTTCTTTGATCTTTGGAAGGTACACTGTACTTTATATAGAATCTTGACAAATCTCAGAAAAGCAGACACAGCAGTGGACCAAACAAAAAAATCACAGAAAGAAAAGAAAAAAATTACCACCAAACCAGATCAAGAAGATGAATATAGCAGGTTCAAACTCCAAGTACGTATCAGTTCAAGACTGGACCAAACACGAAAAGAAACAAGTCCAAAACAGAAACCAGGCTTTTGATAAAAGGTAAAAAAAAAAGTAAAAAAAAAAACCAATCTCTAACCTTTAACAGTGCGAACAACTTTGCCGAGAGATCGCAAAATGAGAGTCCAAATTGGAACGAAATCAAAACAAAATTGTCAACAAAAAAAACAGAGGAAGAAAGGGGCAGAACAGCAAAGGGGATTTCATACCAAAAAAAAAAACAGAAAAGGGAGACGAGAATTAATTATATTATGGTATTGAAGAAACAATGGGGGAAAAAAACGATCTAGAAGAAACGTGAGTTCCGTGAATGAACCACGGAAGCTTATTTCTACAATGCAGGTATGATCCCAATTCCGCGGCGTATGATATCTCCCCTTTGCAACACACCGGTATCCTCCTTCCTCAACTACAATTCATCGTCGATCGGCAATTCTGGAGGCTCCGGCGAGGGGCGGACGGCGGTAATTCCGAGTCCTCCTTCGCAATTGCTCTCTCCCTCCTTCTCTACCCCTGCTCAAACAGCAGGCAGAACGAGAGAGAGAGAGAGCGGGGGGGGCGAAGCTCCGAAAACACGATACAAATACAGAAGTCGGAGATCGCTCGGCCGTCGATTACAATTGCAAGGAGCAGACAATTGATTTCAATTATATTAAATTATCAATTAATTAATTGAATTAAAAAAAAAAGACAGCGGAGAAAGAAAAAGAGAGAAAAATGGGGGAAGAGTGTTGAAGAAGACCTGGTCACCAGAAACGCTCCTACAAAGGCGGTGGGTGATCTCCGATGAGCTAGCTCTTCTCTCCATCCATCCACACCACAACACAGAAGAATGTGTGAGAGAGAGAGAGAGAGAAATTGAATATGAAAATTAATTAACTAATTAATTAATTAAAAATGGACCGTAAATGAATTAAAGATAATGGGATGGCCTGTCGAAATGGGATTGGCAATGGGACAAAGAAGATGGGCCGGTCGCCGTTACGTGCCCACTAACGACGTTAAATCTCAATCACTGGACCCCACCGGTTAATTCCAGCATTTCAAGCTCATTTTATAGACATTAATATATGTATTAGATCTTGTAAAAAGAAATAAATTAAAATATAAGTTAATGTATTTTTTAAAAAGGTTCAAATCACATATTTAGATCTTACAATGAGCCTCATCATCAAGGATTCTCTCAAATCCGACCGGACAATCACTGAGAAGTAAATTAGACTTTAATCGTCGACTAGTGGCAGGAAATTTAGCATGCACCTAGTATTTACAGAGACCCTATGATATGCATAGTTGTCTCTCAGCACAATCGCCAAAAACCGAATGCAGGTCTATCCCAAATCCCATCGGCACTTTCTGTCTTTGCCAACTACGCGACACTCAACGTCGACTTAGATTAAATTCAAATTTAGCTACACGTCGTTCTGAGACTAGAATGGTAGTCTTGAAGGCCTCAAAGAAATGTGACCACACATGGTCCCGTTCCGGGACTCGAAAATATAGTGCAATTTGAAAATGTGATTAATCTGAACTGACCTGATTTAAATAAAAATAAGTAAAAAAGAAAATTTGAATAGATCATGCCCTAAAATAAATAAAAGAGTACAAACACCCAATGTGAATTATTAGAGAGAAAAAAAAAGAATCACAATGAATGGGGGGTGAATGGTGTTGGGTAAGAAGGGATAGATGGGGCGGGGAGGGAGGGCATTTGGTTAGAGTAGGCTATTCCGGTTTTGGCTTTACTTACACGTGCTACCCCAGACGTCTCATGACTTCTTACTTCCTTTGGCTCTTGTAGATAAACATATATGGTATGTAGTATGTGCCTCATAAAATAATAAAAATTGTTTCTTTAAAAAAAAATAAATTAAATTTGGGTTAGTACTTTACAACTTTAAATAAAAACATAAAATAATAAAAATTGTTTCTTTAAAAAAAATAAATTAAATTTGGGTTAGTACTTTACAACTTTAAATAAAAATGTAGGGTAGGTGGGTTTTGCACAATTGATAAAGTAAGCCTGTCTAGGATTCCAAAGAGTAATATCTAAATTTGATTCCTGACCATAATGCTGAAAAAAATTATGATAAGCATAGAATCTTTATAAGTAACACGTGTAGGCTTTACTCTTTGTTATCAAGGTGTGATTCAGGTTCAATTTACCTTATGTCATGTGAATGTCTGGCTGGTTTTGAGGTTCATCCTTTGAATAAAAATGTAGATATTTCTGCTTTCCATTCCATCTCTCTCACAAATATACTTCTAGTTTTATAATTTCTAATTTGAATTATTTTAAATTTAGTTTATGTAAAAATTGGTACAAATTCAAAAAAATAATTTATATATCCAATAAAAACATCAAAAAATACTGCAGAATACAAAATAAGAGAAGTGATAAATATTTTATTAAGTCAAATGATTAATTAAATTTAAAAACGATATGGTTGATTATGTGAATTATAATACGGAGTTTGAGACTTTTTTCGGTATAGGAGAAGTACTTGGTAGCTCTCTCTTTTATGAAATCTGTTTTTTTTTTTCATTTAAGTCAATCAAAATTTAGTCTTACATCTATGATACAAGTATTTAAAACTCTCTTTGTTTAAAAAAAACATACACTTTCTCCATTGATTAATTAAAACAGTGAAAGTATATAATTAAAAATTATTGTAGTTAGAGCTACTCCAAAAAATATGAAGAGTGTAATTTTAATCTTAGAACGGACAAAAAAATGCAAAATTTATTACTTCTCCCGTCCCGAGAAATTCACTTTTGTTTTTTGGGTAATTTAAAGGATGTGTAATTTGGTAATTGACCTCCTACAAATGCCTTTAGGGTTTCTTTGTAAAAGTAATGTTTTACATAAATGAATAATTAAAAATAATGAAAAAGAGTAATTAAAAAATAAGATGAGATGTGGAAAAGTCGGGTGAAAGAAGATATTGAAGTCCATTTTAGAGAAATTGAAATATTTTATGAGACGGGTAAGATGAGAAAGTTGAAATATTTAGTTCGACAAAGAGAGTATTACGCTGGAAAAGTATATTCGTGATTCTATATATAATTAAATCATACTTTACAAATTCAGACCTTTGGGTATGGAGAGCCAAATGAGGACCTTCCCTTGCAGTTCTAATTCTAGATCAAGTTTTAATTATTTTTTTCAACTTTAAGTAAGTATTGATCATTTTAGCACAAAGAAATCAATTATATTAAACAAAAAAAACAGAAACCGGTACCGGTGGCGATCCCTCCCTTCGACGGTACTGAACCGGCGATTCGAAAACCGGCCCATGTACCCGTATCTACAAATCATCTGGGGAAAAAACGAGCAAATGAGTAATTCTTGAACCACCCAAATCACAAAATTCTATGTGAAAAAGAGTTAAGCAAATATGGGAAAACGAGAGAACAAAATGTCGGGGACCTTAACACCAACCAATAGGCTTGCACCTAGCTTACTATGAACATACTCCCTATGTTCTCTAATTCTGATCAATATATGAAAAAATAGGTCATGTTCTCTCCAATTTATCTTTTACTTATTATTTATTTCTATTAAAATCAGTTGAGATCGGACTAGATCAGATTAGAAATAGATTTAAATATAACTATATTCAGCAGATCAAAACTTATTGGTGTGTAATTAATTGAAATGTGATTAGTGCCAAACCCCAACTTAAAAAAGGAATTAATAAATTAATTAATTGAAAGATAATATGCCAAAAAAAATGTGATGATGGAAAAGAAAGAGCTCATTATTATTGATGGGGGGAGACAATGACATGTTTTTGGAACTCTTTTTACCACAAAAAAGAAAGCACTATCCATTATGACAATTTTGACAACGTCAAAGTGCCTCCTCATATTTTCTGTCCACTAGTCATTTGATTTCCCTTATCCCACACAAGGGGGAATCAAAACGTATCATTTGCTTGATTCTCAACTTCACCACACAGATGAATCAAAGAAACAAGAAAAATAAAATAAAGTTATCCACAACTTATAGGTGAATGTTTGGATAAAAAGTTTGTTGGCAAAGGTAAGAAGTGTCAAGAGAATATATCCGAATTTGATTTCTGACAAATATGCTGGGAGACAACTATGCTCACTATAGAGCTTCTGCAGGTACTAGGTGTAGGTTCTAACCTATGGCACCTTGCGATCAAAATGTAATTTGCTTTCTCAGTAACCGTCCCGTCAGATCTGAAGGAACTCTCAGTAATGAGACTCATCCTTTTTTGGATAAAAAGCGTTGGGCTCCATATAGGTACGACTTTGAATGATTCAATACGAACTACATACTATTAGTACATCCTTTCTTAATTTTAACTCTTGAAAAAAACTACTCCCTCTGTCCTATAATGATCTTCCCAGTTCGCAAAACGAAGAAAAATCCCAAGTTTTTTCAATCTATTTTATTTAAATATTGGTATAGAAATAAAAAATAAAACATACATATTTAAAAACTACACCAAAATTTCAACAAAACAAGTGGTGACAAGAATATTTTATTTTATCATATAGGCCATGAAAAAACACAAATAAATATAAATTCCCGTGAAGTTGGAATAGTGGTCTGGAAAGATCATTATAGGACGGAGGGAGTATATTTGTGAAATTTATCTAGAATGAAGAAAAGGCAAATTTTTATGTGAATAGAACGAGCCCAACTTTAATTTTTTTGTTCATACCAAAAGAATTATTTAATTATTATTTTCATGACTATCCACAATTCATTTTTTTCTTAAAAAAATGGTATTCACACACTTATTACTTTTTTACCATTTTTTAAAGTACGTTAGGTCAATTGTGATACATAGTACTTCAATTAGGAACAGGTGTACTTGTGTACACCCTCCCTCCGCCCCTTTGGATTCTTTAGGATACAGTATTAACATCACAATTTATAGTGCATGTTTACTATTCACGGGATCAAACTTTATTTTCTTTCTTTCTTTATTTTCGTTAGCAATTTAATAAAATAAAATACTATTGTAATATTTATAGATCTTTTGATGTAGTGTTTTAATATGTTATTTTAATTTTTTAACTATATACCATGTGTCATATAAAATGATTTGAAAATTATTTCAGTCAAACATCGCAAACCGAAACAGACACTATAAATTAGGATGGAAGGAGTACTAAAACTATTTTCTATTAAATTGACCCTTGAACCTCGGGTCATATATGGTACTTCGTTCGTAAATTAATTTAACGAATACTAAAAATATAAAATCGTAAATGGATGTAGGAGCAATTAAATAAATATTTACCTAATTATCCTTCTCAAAAAATCAAATAAATATTTATTTAATTATATTTATTAACATTCTCTAGTTAGTATGAGTAAAAACTTATATCTCTATTACGGTGTAATAATTAATTTTGTGAATTACACCCTTTGTCTCAATTTAAATTGCATGTTTCGATTTACAATATTTGACTGAAGTTATTTTTAAATCATTTTGTATGAAAATCACTTTAGAATTTAAAAAAATAAAAATTACAGTACATATTTAAAAACTATATGAAAAGATCTACGAAACTACGGGTGGCATGGCAATATTATATTATCAAATGACTAACAAATACGGAGTATAAGAAAAGAAAGTGAAAAAGTTTGACCATGTAAATAATAAACATGTACTTTAATTTGAAACGAACTGAGTAGTAAATGTGATATTTAAAAATGTTTAAATACTACTCGGTACAAAGTAATTGGTAAATTTGAATTACAACCTACGATGATATGAAAATAATTCCAAATAGTTTCATTGTTATTAATCATATAATATTTTAAACGGTGGGGTTCCAGTGCCACTGGAGTACGGTGCCACTGGCATTTTGGGGCATCTCCGGTGCTCCGTTCGCAAAATTGACGGTTCCTACCCCCCTAACCCACCCCCTAAACCCCCCACCCTACCCCGCCCCTGCACCCCCACCCCAACCCCGCCGTAAGCCTCCCACAAAATATGTGGCTATTATGCGTTCATAATAGCCACACATTTTGTGGGGGGCTTACGGCGGGGTTCGGGTGGGGTGCATGGGCGGGAGTAGGGTGGGGGGTTTAGGGAGTGGGTTAGAGGGGTAAGAACCGTCAATTTTGTGAACGGAGCACCGGAGGTGCCCCAAAATGCCAGTGGCACCGTACTCCAGTGGCACTAGAACCCCACCGTATTTTAAATAAATAAATTAATATCCATTGTCCAAATATTTTTCAACCAAATACTATTGCAACCATTGTAATATCCTAAATACAGAGTAGTAAGTACGTAGGTATACCCAAATGTACGGTATAATTAAACATAAACCCCCGTCCTATCATTTATTTTACATTTTCTTTTCTCATTGGACTCAAATAAATTTTGCACTGCCTGTTTTACAATGACAACCATATTGGGTGTCATATTATGACACTCATCCAATTGAAGCGCTACAGTATTTCGTTCAAAAAATTAATTGTTCCTACCCTTATCCCCGGTAAACCCCACCACGGTTAATTCCAAACCCACTCCCCTACGCCCTTGAATTGCACCCCCAAAGTCTGTTGATTTTGGGGTTGCAAATGAAAGGGGTAGAGATGGGTTTGGGTCGATATCCGATCTGACTAACTCTGTCTTCGAGCCCTCCAAATTTACTCTCTTTCCAGACCTCACCTTTGCTCACCCTTCAAACTTACTGTCTATCTAAACAGGCAGTTACGGTTAATCTGGAAGGAGGAACTGGAGGTGATGGGTCCTGGAAGCCATTGTTACGGCAACAGAAGCTTTGTCAGTTGACTTCTGATACTCTTTTGATAGTCAAAGGTGTTTCTCACTTGCCTTTGTCGGCTCTTATTATGTGTATGTGAAATGGGAGGTCATGAGTTCCATTCCCAGTGGAACCAAACTATTCAACACTTTGACATGGGCCCCCCCCCTGTGCGTGTGTGTGTGTGCCCAAGTTCACATACAAAGCACCCTTTGATGGTGGTCTACTGGTCTCATTATGAAATATTGTACTCAGTACTCTACTAAGGAAAGCTTAAACAATGTTGGGGTCTAGGGGTTCAAGATGGACGCCGACTTACCCGTGTATAAACAAAGAAGACCCTGTTTACGTTAGACCCTAGATGCATTGCTGCATTTACTCTCCAAAATGTCACAGAAAGTAAGAAGCAAGAGAAGTTTGATGCACTATTTTTAATTTAGTCCGTTATATGCCCGAATGCCCCGAAACTAAAACATTGTCAATAGTGACTCTTAACTTTTCCATTCAAAAAGAAGTATACATTTACCTTAGATAGCTCTTCAGTTTCAGTGTATTCCCACCTAAATCCATTAGTCAACTGCTCTGTTTTTCAACGATTTCAAGACCAAAAGATTCATTTCCAGGATTTCGGCAAGTACAACCTTAAAATATGATTCTTAATGCATGGAAAACATTAGAATCAGCTCCGATGACCTAAAAAAAACATGGAATAGAGGTGTTGTCGTGTAACTTTGAAGTCACGGGTACGAGTCCTTGAAACTTTGTAGAAAAACAAATTCATTTCTGAGTTTCATTGCTCTTCGTCTTCAAGAATACCTTCCAGTACCAAATACTGTAGAGCTATAGAATATTTCGCTGTTCTTGGTCCATTAGATTTCTCAACACCGAAATTGTTTCCCTTCTTAAGAAGAAAGGACCCAAACCCATCCCCTGGTAGAGAAAGAATTCAATTTCACAGGACATCGAGAAAAGATTCTTTAATGGTCTATTCGGATGGATGGTTTTTGAAGGGATGGCAAAGGGCATAGTTTATATCTTCATACTCCATCAAATATACACTAAGCCCACCAAAGTCTTCCCTCATCCTAAACCCTCCATCAAAACAGAAACAACATAAGCTCTGGATCCTGTAGAGTAATTATACGGAAGAGTTACTCCATGGACTGTGTAATGAGATCCAGTAGAGGAATAAGGACCGTCCATGTAGTAACTCCACTGCAATTTACTCCATGGTATACCATACCCACTAAACGCTAGCACGCATCCAACGAATTAATGGAAAGTTTAAGGCAAATACAACAAACAATAAGAGTAACCACCACTTAAGCCTACCTCTAATTGTGTAAATGGAGGAGACCCATCTTTTATATATGTAAAGCAGCCTTGGGGAGTCACCAGGGTGAGTATCAGAGAGAAGAAGTTGGCATGGTCCTGATTTTCTGTTTCCCATATCCAAACTTAAAACAATCAAACATGGGAATCTTAACCTGGCATCATTTACTAAATGAAGCAGCTTGCTCACTTGGCAAAATCAATGGCATTTCTACACACTGCAAGAGTCCGAACCATTGCCAAGTCCTTTCCTCTAGCATTATTGTACCTTTGTTGGCAATTTCTGAAAATATCAAATCAGATATCAAATTTGAGATTCATGGATATTAAGAGGGCCACCGCAAATAAATCCTCACTCCTGGTTTGGTTTAAAGCAGGGGATGAGAAATTGGAGATAGGGAGGTGAGGAAAATGGAGGAGGTTTAAAAAATGTGTGGTCTCATGGTGGAGTGATGAGAAAATAGTACTCCGCATTTTGCAATTGGGGAAGGAGAGGTGAAGAAAACGGAGGTTAAAAAATGTATGGTCTTATGGTGGAGTGATGAGCAAATAGTCTTTTGAAAAAATATACGAGTACTGGTATAATAACAATGGCTTTGATTAAAAAAATATTGTGATTAATAATATGTTAATCTAAATGTTTACCAATAGAAATGCAGAAAAATTCTGAAAAATACCGAGTAAAAGGAAAGTTGGAGCAATTGAGGGGAAAAACATTTTCCGTAAATCCATCGCCTTGGGGAGTGAGATATGAGAAGATTGGAGAATTGTATAACTTCACTTTTCTCCCCATTTACCTCGACTTCCTCAACCACACATACACACACACACACACACCATACCTCCACTCTCCTCATCTCCCCTCCAAACCAATCCGGCCAAACAAGGGCTTAGACTATGTGAAGAATGTGGGAACAAGTAGTAACACCAAGAAATGACTTAGAGATCGATTGTATTGCTTTGTAGCCCCATTAGTTCCAGAGTGTGAGCATACATTTTTGATTTTTCAGCCAGATAGAGAAGTTTGTTTCCATAATGGTAAGATCACGCCGATTGATTTATACTCCCTCCGTACCAAAATAATCACACATTTCATTTACCAAAAACAATATGTTTTTCGCATTATTTCTCTATATTGTAAATATATATTTCATGCATATAGTTTCATTTTGTTAAACTTCCAGCACCGTGTCGCACAGGGCACAAGTAATACGGGGAGGATGGAGTAGTTGAAAGGATTAACCAAACAGTACCTATCATCGAAGAAATCAGCAAAATCATCAATGATGACCAAAAAAGGGATTGCATCATGAACGTGAAATGCAGCGAAGTATTTTTTAATCCCTTCTTCATCAACTATATACCTACGAGAAGAGATGAGAAGATCAATCCAGATCACTATATCATATACTGTTGGAACATATTCTGAAAGAAAAAAAGAGAGAAAATCAAACGAATATGGTCCTTACTTGATGTGAATCCGCTCAAAAATGGCGGAGGAAGATTCTACGCCGGGAGCGAGAAAAGGGGGTTTGGACTCCAACTTCCGGCGGCTGGAAATGAACACCACGGAGCCGCCGCCGGTCGCCATGGCGGAGTTCAGTGCGTACTGGAACAGCAAAGAGGTTTTCCCTCTGCGCAATAGAAGAGGCGTCGGACAAGAGATCGAAACTCAAGCTTCGTTGCAGAAGTGAATATGGAATAAAAACGAGGAAATTGGGCGTTACGAGGAAGGAGGGCCGGTGAGGAGGACGATGGAGTCGCTGTGATTCCGGCGGCTGAAATCGGCATTTGGATTAGGAAGGGGGAAGAATCCTTCCACCATCTTCGCTGCACTCCGCCGCTCACTGCTGAAGCTTCAAGATTTTTTTACCCACCAATGTCCAATTCGTCTTTATTGATTTTACCTGTCTGTTGGGTTGAAATTTATCAACCCACCTCTCTTCTTCTCTGAAATTTATCTCTGTGTTAAAATCTCGTGTGTCAAAAAATTCCTCAACTCAATGTTTTATTTATAAATCAACCTAAGAGTTTAATTAATTGGTTATGATAAGTTTTGTAAAGGATTAAATTAATTCATGTTTTCAATTAGAAAGACTAATTTGTCTCAAAACAACACATAAAAATTGGTGGTTTCTTAGGTGCCCAAAGAAATAAGAGGGCATCCATGCCCCTCCACTCAAGTATTGCCACGTGTATTAAATCTCATGAGAATTAATAAAGTGTTCCAGCTCATTTTAACTCTAAGAAATTACAATTGACCTCTCCACTTTGTTTGCCTTAAACTCACCCCCAACCCTTCAGTTTTCTTCAGTTTCCAAATTTCCGCTTATCATTGACGTTACTTCAAATAATCTTTTTTTTCCTCGACCGCCGGCCACAATCTTATACAAATCTGATCAATTCCTCTTACCCAATCTAATCAATTTCCTCTTAGCATCAAAACAAGGTTATCAAACCTATCAAATCCTTTGTAGGAATTTCTGTTCTATGAGCCGGCCATCCACTTTAATCCTCACTGTGGAGAGGCATGTAACAATTGGGAGTGGACTGCTAGGTTTATAACTCACAATAGTGAAAAAGAAAAAAAACTTGACAGAGAGTGATTATGGCCAAATCCATTGTTACAATTCACAATAGTGAAAAGAAAAATTGTTATGTCTTAAAATTACTCGCACCATTTTTTTGGTAAACATGGTTATGTCAAATGATATAATTGCAAAATCCAAAAATGCCCAAATCTCAAAGGGAAGAATGACTTCTTTTTAGAAGCTCAAGATTAGATTTTCACAGGAAAAAAAACAAAACTATTGCCAAACCTCAAAGAAGTAAAAAATAGCTACTTCTTAGAAGCTCGAACAGTCAAACCTTTGTCATTGGATAAGAGAAAATTGATTAGATTTGTATACGATTGAGGCCGGCCCAGTTCCGCCGTCGAAGAAGAGATTACACTCTACGTGTCACTGCCTTCCGGTCCCCACGTCCGCACGTCACGGCGCCTATACACACCAATGCCAAACCCTTCTTCTGTAGCCTTTTTTATGCCTGATTAATTTAATCAACTGCACTATGTGCCTTTGCCGTTTTGAAAACATAAGGGGGTTTGGGGGTGAGTTTAACGAAAGCAAAGTGGAAAACTTAAATGAGCATTGACTCAATATCATTCATGTTTTGATTAAAAAGACTGACATATTTTCATTAAAATCTACTTAAATATGACTAAAATATAATGACTTTTAAGTAAATGACCATCATTACTAGAAATTATTTCTCTTACTAGATATTATTAAATCCTATTTAAAGAATAAAAAAGTTTAAGTCTTACATTTAAAAATGACTTATATTTTAGTCCTATTTAGTGCAAATTTCACTATTTTCATTCAAGAAAGGTTAAATGTGTAATTTTCAATTTCATTAGGGTTAAAAGTTAAACCAATTAAAACTTTTCAAAACATTTTTGTTTTTGATACTTCTATTGTCCAATAGGTGTACTTTACTACAATTAGATATACATTTTTTGCATTTTCTCTTTTTCTAAAAAATAATATGTGGCTTATAACATCTCTCTTTGAAACAATACTCACTCTGCATCAGATTTGAGAATACGTTAATCACATTCTATCTATTGCAAGTATGAATTCATTTAAAGTCATATACCACATATGAGTTCTATAATGTCTTTTCCAAACATTATTTTCTATATTTTAATCTCTTTATTCTCGATTTAGTCGTTTGTTACAAAATTGAAGGTCAAACATCAGTCGATAAAATTCGTCTTGACATCTTCATCAAGCTCCAACACGTATATTGATGAGCGTTTGATTAAAACATTATCAAATCTGAGACAAAGGAACAATTGGTGCAACACTTTTAAAGGTTCATGAAGCATTGATGTAATTTTTAAAATTTAGGAAGAATCCACGCAATTTTTGAAAAATTCAGGAGTAAATGGTGCAAAAATCTCTTTTTATAAACACCTAAATATGATTTTTTATATTTAAATATTTAGTCTAAAAATTAAAACAAAAACACAATTAAAAATCTGAGAAGTGGAAACCAAACAATATCAAATGAATTAAATTGTGTACCCAAAAAATTATACTCCACTTTGTACCTCAAATGTATGCACCAACATTTTGTGTTAGTGCAATGCTAGTATAATAATTTACCATGACAGAAAATGTCAATGCAAATTTCTGTGATTAAACTGATATTTTGTGCTGGTATGAAAATTTTGGGATACAATTTGGAGTCTATTTTTTAATGTATCCCTAGCATGGTTGATATCAAATACATAGTACAACTAGTAAAATGAATCTAGAAAAAATGAGTGTTGATAAACACTTTTAAGTGGCATTATACTCTAAGCACCCAAATTCTCACCCCACCTACATCATCTAAACACATTGGGCAGGTACCCACAAATGTCTTTTGAGAAAGTGGGGGTGAAATGTCCCTAGGGAGTATTATTATGATGATAATAAATAAGTATCCCCTCTCAATTCATGACATAAAAAATGGGGTTATAATACACTAATGCACAACATGTGTGTGTGTGTGAGTGAGATGTTACTATAAATTTGGTTTGAGGGGCCAAAATAATTTACTTCTTTGCCGCCGATGAAATCGCTCTCCCATTGCTAAAACTGGCATCATTCTCCATCTTCATCATCGTCCCCCTTCCAATTGATTCCTCGCTCTCAAAGAACGAGTAGTGAAGTGCCTTCACACACCTCTCTGCTTCGCTGTCGTTCACTATCAACGAAATGTTTACCTGCAGAGAAATAGAAATGACAAACCGAACGCGTGTTTGGAAAGAGGGAATACGGCGGGTGGTGTACCTTTGAAGCTCCTTGTGAGATCATCTGCACATTCACATCATTCGTTCGGAAAACACTGAAAGCCTGGCACAGAGGGAAAGAGGAAAAAAGTATGAGATTCAAAGCACACCAAGGGGCTGTTTGGCAACTTCTGAATAGGTAAGTGCTGAACCAGTAAGAGATCTGAACCAGTAAGAGGTCTGAACCATAAAGAGCCAGTATATTGCTTAACTATTCAGAGGCAAATGTCTGATCAATTCAGATAAAAGGTCTTAACCATTCAGACTCTGTATAATACTTAACCATTCAGAAGCAAATCTCTTAACCATTCAGACATCTGAACCATTAAGAGGCTGAAACAAACAGCCCCCAACATGTTAACAAGCGGGCACACAACATGTTATTGGTAAGATGTCATTTTCCTTGATTTAGACAATAGAAAAAGAAATGGGGACTGCTAAAACTACACGAGGGATAACCATAGTCCATAGCAATGAACGGAATAAAAAGAAATCTTCACCTTCTCCAATATCAGAGACGAATATTGGACATTTCCGATTAGGGAGATTATGGATTTGTGTGGTAAAAGATTTACAACTGCAAATTTTCCCAGCTCTTCAACTACGTGGTCAAGTTCCTGCTCCACACACCAAACAAAAAAAACAATAAAGAAAATGAATAACCGCTTTGCAGGCTAAAAACCTTGTTTTTTACAGTTGCACAACTAAAGCGTGGAGGAAATATTTTTCACTTATTTGCCTGCTGAATAAGTTCTCTGCTCCAAATTTTTGACGGGTCCAGTGTCACGGATATACTGACTTCACTCGTTGCAACAACATCAACAGAGATCCCCATTTCTTCGAATATTGAAAAAACCTACACAGCAAAAATAAAAAAATGTCACAAATTCACTATACATGTTTACAGAATCTAAATAGAATAGGAAATGAAAGCTGACGATTCACCTTTGCAAGGAAGCCAAATTGACCCAGCATTCGAGTGCTAACTATATCTAACATGGTCACATTCTGCTTCAGGACTATACTTGTTAGTAAAACCTGTGAAACAAGCGCAACTCTCTTTATGGGATATGACTTCTTTTTTTGCTTTGCTATGAAAAAACAGATAAGAGTGATCAAATATTCAATGCTTGTGATATAGTAACCTGGCTCATTTCTCTACATTTAGTTATGATGGTGCCGGGAGCTCTTGGATTATAAGAATTCTTAACCCTAACAGGAATATCACCCTCCCTAGCTGGTCTCATTGATTGGGGATGAAGAACCTGCAGAAAAAAAAGAATCATTTGTTCATGTTATGGTAGAACGAACTGACTGGAAATTCATATCCTAATGTCTAACTATAGAATTGAAAGGAAATAATGATCAGCAAAAACCCAACGTGCCCATGAATAATTTATGTCTAAAGTCTCAACAACCCACCTTTCACCTCTTTGAGGGTAATTATGTCCATGCAACATATTTCTTTCTCCCACTTTCCCACTTCGCACAGAATTTGATTTCCATTAAACCAAAACATTTCAGTTCCCAAAAACCAAGCATGCCGTAGCAATAAACTCTCAGGGATGGGGTAAAACAGAAGCAAAGAGGCATAAAGAGCAATAAAGATTACCTGTGCTCCAAAGTAAGCAAGCTCAGTGGCCTCCTCAAAGGTCAGATGAGGCACAGGCTTTGCGTGTGGATAAATACTTGGATCACAAGTAAGAACGCCGTCAACATCTTTCCAAACCTGATACGAAGGAAACCATTACTTAAATGTTCATTATTACTTCCCATCAAGAGTAAAATAATGCCAATGCAACCCTCACTCCCTCAGTAGTGATTTGTACCTGAATCTCCCGCAATCCCAAGGCTCTTCCAAGTGTTGTTGCAGTCAAGTCACTACCACCCCTACCTAAAGTTGTAATTTCCCCTGATTTACATCCCTGCATTGGAAAAAGAAGAATATGTGGCCATTCTCTTAAACTAAATTAGCGGATAGGAATTTTTCATCCCTACAAACGTAGTGCTTTTTCGTTTTAGGTACAAGATAATCATTTTGTTGCTATTCATTCCATAGTCAGCTCGGTTTTCTTGTCTTTCAGTCAACCTTCATTTGATAAAAAAAATGAAGGGAAAACACAGAAAACAGCACAACTTGCAGGGATGAATTACATATAATGAGTCCATGGGGCTAAAACAAAA